GTCATGGAAACATGCCTGCCTACGCACGATTAACCTTGTTTCATGACTGTCAGGACAATGAAAAGTAATAATGGTGTTTTATTCTCCCTCTGCTTCAACAAAAACTTACTAGTTTTAGAGAAAGGTATAACAGAGATAGAATTTGCCTCTCGATATTTAAATTTTGAGAATTATGATGTGCAGTGGTTATATGAAAAAGGGCTATTTGCTAATAGAAAATCTGTTTCTTTAAAGAACTCCAAATGAAAAATTTTGATACTAAGCATGGCCCAAAGGCAGCTTTTGTCAAATATCTAAAACAGACTTTGAAGTATGATGTGGAAGTTAATCTATCTGGATTTTGACGTTGACTTCAAAAGTCTGGTATCTGACAACTTAATATTTACATTTTAATAAGTTTTCTTGATTTTCGTAATCAAATTTAGGAAGAAGATAAAAACGCAATGCGTTCTAAAACATACATGGAGTTCCTGAAAGTGGGGTTTGCTTACAGCATCCATCCCGTATACATGAAAACGGCTGTGGGGCGCTGGGTTAGGTTTGTGTGTGGTGGGTGGAGGAACATTTGTGCTTGTGTGCCTTGGCCGGGCAGAGGGAGTGGAGAGGGCAGGCAAGACTATCACAAGGGTGATGGGCAGAGGGAGGCATGGCAGGGACCAGGGGTGGGGACCCTGGGCCCACAGCTTGAAAGCAGTCCGCTGTCCAGCCCTCAGCTTCCGCTCTCTGTCCTTGGCTACTGAATCCTCATTGACCCTGGGCTCCAGCTACTGCTCTTGAACGCCAGGTTGGTGTGTAACAAAGCTGCCCTTATTGTGGATGAGGATGCTGACCTGGCTTGTTTAACACAGCCCTGGTTTGGCCTCTGGTGGGATCCCCTCTCAGAATTGTGTCCAACCGGGTTTTGTACCAGCTGAGACCCCAGGAAGGGGAGGAGTGGTGGTTCTTGTCATCTGAGAGTCATTACAGACTTTCAGAGGTTCTGCTTTACAGATAACCAGATGTGAGCTGTTCTGGTTGAAGTTGGGCTTACAGGAACAGTTGGGATTTGCTGCTGATATACTGCCCTCCTGCTGTCCACCATTATCCCTGCTGGATTCCTGCAGCTGACAGTGGAGTCCCTGAAGCTATCAGTTCTCAGGGATTTCAATCTGCTGTCTGGTGATGTTGAGTCCCAAGTCACTGAGGGCCTGATACATACAGGTAGTCTGTGACTTACAACCACAATACGGCCTGGAAAATTTGTTGTTAAGTAGTGCGGTCATTAAGTGAGGCATCATGCAACTGCACCCAATTTTATGACATTTTTTGTGGCAGTCGTTAAGTGAATCACATGGTTCCCCATTGATTTTGCTTGCCAGAAGCCAGCTCGGAAGGTTGCAAATGGCAATCACATGACCCTGGGACACTGCAACCATTGTAAATACATGCCAGTTGCCAAGCACCTGAATTTTGATCACGTGACCACGGGGACGCTGTGATGGTCGTACCTGTGAGGACCAGTCATAAGTAACTCTTTTCAGCGCCATCATAACTTCAAAAGGTCGCTAAACCAATGGTCATAAATTGAGGACTACCTGTACCAGTGACTGCATGTTAGATCTGGTTTCTGTCTCAGGGCAGTTGTGACATGACCTGGTATCCGAGGACATTAACATCAGTCCATTGCCATGGACAGATCACTCTCTGACTGCCTTTGGCTCACTGATGTCACCCCTCCCTGCAGGGAGATAGAAGCTACTTCACTGGCCTGCCCCAAGCAATTGATGGACCCAATGAGGTTCCAGAGAGAACCTGGGGCTTTCCCAAGGGTTTAGTGGCTGGTTCAGCCAAGGCCTTACTTGCTGCCTAGAATGGGCAGGTGGCTGACCCATGGACTGTATTACCTCTATGCAGCTTCTCCTTGTGCACCAATCTTGGGGTGCACCTGGGAGCTCTGGGAGATGAGGTGCCAGAAAAGATGCATGAAGTGTCACTGGAGAAAGACTCAGAGTGAGTCTGACTTAATATGGGTAAGGGCCTATATTGAGGATTACCTCCTGGCTATAAAGGTGGCAAAATTTCAATATTTCTCTGCCCACCGACAGCCATGTAACACCCCTAGGTAAGGTGACCTTGTCCCTGCTGTGCAGGGAGAGCCCCCAGAATCATCTCCAAGGTCACTGTGAGGAATATTCAGATTGGGGCAGGTCCAGGTGAGGTGACTGGGGCAAGGTCTTATGGTGTGATCTGGGCTGAGTCTGAACTGGTGACTCCTAAGAAAGTGGACAGGGTGCTTCGTGCTATCAGTTTGGCCACCTGTTTAATGGACCAGGCCCCCTTCTGGGTCATGAAAGTGGCCAGGGAGGTATCCTGTGGTTGGGTCCATGCTGTGGTTTCAGCCTCTTTGAGGGAGAAGTTGGCACCTCATGCCTTGAAGGAGGCAGTGGTGTGCCCCCTCCTCAAGAGGCTGTCCCTGCACCTAACACTTTTAGATAACTTTCATCCTGTCTCCAATCTTCCATTTTTAGGGAAGGTGTTGAGAAGCTGGTCAGTCTGCAGTTGATGAGAACCTGGAGGAAGTGGATTATCTAGGCCTGTTTCAGTCAGGTTTCAGCCAGGATTTAGCATGGAGACAGCCTTGGCTGCACTTGTGGTGGTGTAATGGAGCCGAGATGGAGGTGGTACACCCATCCTTGTACTCCTTGATTTCTCGGCAGCTTTTGATATCATCAACCATGGTATCTTTCTGGGTTGGCTCCCAGGGTTGAAGATGGGGCACCATTCTATAGTGGTTCTCTTCCTTCCTCTGTGGCCAGTTTCAGTTGGTGTTGGTTGGGAGGGAAAGGATATTCCCTAAGCCCCTCCTCTGTAGGGTGCCACAGGTCTTGACTCTGTCTCCCCTTTTATTCAACATCTGCATGAAACTGCTGAGTGAGGTCATCCATCAGTCTGGGATTCCCAATTATACCTTTTGACCCCAGGCTGGCCACGTAAGGCTGTTGAGTGACTGGAGGCTGTATGGGTTTAGATGAGGAGGCACCGTCTTTAATACAGTCCTACCAAATTTGAGTGGCTGTAGCTGTGGCTGTTGGAGCCACCTAGATTTGGGGATATTCCATTCTTGACCTTTGATGGGGTTGCACTTCCCCATTCAAGAGTGGTGTGCCATCTGGGGGTATTCCTGGACTCATAGCCACATGGCAGCTGTGGCCAGGAAGACCTTTGCACAACTTCATCAAGTGCACCAGTTGTGGCCTTTCCTCGATTGGGAGGCCCTTCAGACAGTCACTCATGTCCTAGTAATGATATGTGAGAATGACCTTGGGAGACAGGGGAAGAGCCACAGCCAGGTCTGATAAAAGGCAGCTTAGCCCGCAACAGGAATGGGCGTGTAGAACATCTCAGAAGGGACCCTCCCTAATTTATTGGTCTGTAAAGGTGATGGGGGAGAAATGTACTTTCAGACTTGTAAGATTCTGTTAATGTAATCTTATAATAAAGTATACTTAGATCATCTGGGCATGCTTCCCGTCTGGGCTACCTCACAAGGCTGACACCTCATCACTTCATGGCTCCACTAGTACATGCATTTCAAAGTGCTGATTATGACCTATAAAGCCCAACATGGCATGGGACCTGGTTATTTGAGGGACCACTTATCTCCCATGGTATTAGCCTGGCCAGTTCAATCTGACAGATTTGGCGTGCTCCATGTTCCTTCAATTAAACAGTGTCATCAATAGGGACCCCAGAAGTGTGCCGTCTTTGTCATAGCACCTGTCCTCTGGAATAAAATTCCCCTGATATCCATGTGGCTCCTAGCCTGCTGGCATTCCAGAAAGCCTTAAAGACATGGCTGTTCTCCCAGGCCTTGGGTTATGGGGTTGAAGCCCCTGCCAGATTATGTGGGATCGCCAGATCTGCCACTGGTTTTTGTTGTTTACTGTTTCATTCTCTTATAATTATTGTATTCTGTTTTTAAGTTGTTGGTTTTATTGCACACTGCCAGTTGGAGTCAGGTGGTTGTCACAATTGAATAAATGAAATGAAATCAAACTACTAGGGAAATGTCTAGTGCCCTAGTAAAACAATTCACAACAATTAGGAGCTTCCCAATTTGCTCTGAACTGAAAACAACTAGTTAAGTTCTTATCATGCTAAGTCATAGTTTCCTTCATCATGATTAACTGCATAACTGGTTGGTTCACTTATAACTTTTGTGGGAACAGGAAAATGTTTAAAAAGAGGAAATGGGAATGGCTAGCCTCCTACTCCCATTATCACTCTTAAAGCAAAATAATAAAAAGGCCAAAAAATTTCAACCCTTCCCTTTCTGGGTGATGTCATCCTTCAGTGCCAGCCTTCAGTGGTCCATCAGCTGGAGAAGAGAGCAAGTTGCAACCTCAGATCCAGGAGAAGTTGCCTGTGCCTGCCCTTAATTTCACAAACCACAACAGCTGGATTCACCCGCTGAACCATGCCAGCACCAAAACACACAATGGCTATGCAAGATTTGTGAATCTTTCTAAAATGGGCAATTCTAGGGTACATATAGACAGCGAAGTACATTGAGCTATACAGTGGGCACTGAGTGGCAGTGATTTCAAAGAGGAATAATTTCTGATCATCTCTAGAAATATCAAAAATTGAACCTAGACTTTTTACATACAAAGCAGCTACTCCACAATGAACTGAAGGCTTACACACTGCTTTAAAATGTATCTGAGGAAACATGCTGTAATCCACTTCCAAGTGCAGTTACAACCCAGTAGTGGATCCCAAAGCAATCCTTCTAGACTGTGTTTAGGAACAGAAATCAACACATTTCCATTCCTTTCTAGAGTATCTAATTATATAATTTACCTCTCTGCATAAAAAAATAACTACCCAGTACTATCATAAACATTTGAAGTATATGTTATTGGAATAGAGCACAATATTTGCTTTTCAGTTAATTTTATACTAATTTTAATAAACTGGAGGTAGGTTTGCCGATGGCACTGTGTCTTAAAACCCCTTACCTTTTGCTCTTGAACTTCAAATACTGCTTCATGAACACTGCAAGCAAAGAGTGAGGTAGGAAGATCACTTAAATCCATCATCTCTTCCAAGTCTTCTTCGTTTTCTCCAAAAATCATTTCTTCCTCTTCTTCTAGGTCACTGCTGTAAAGGTCTGACTGGCTATCACTCCAGGCCTTCATTGTATCATTAATCACTGTCCATTCAATGCTTCTTTCTGCCTCTGTATTCTGAGCTTGTAGGAAGAGTCTTTCCAATGAGTCAAGGGAGAGAGGGAGAGAGAGAACACAAACAGTAAGGAAGACGTTTTTCTATTATTTCTTATTATGGCTGTTTTTAATGGTTTAGTCATTGTGTGCAAAAATAAGATCTGTGCGAAGACTGACCTTAGAGTAGTAACACTGGCTCATTTTACAGTTCATTGACTTCTAGTGTAGGAAGGAACCACTGCTTATTCAGATATGAATGACAAGCTTGACTCAGACTTTTATAATGAGAGAGGCCTAAATGAGACTCCCATGCAATCTATGCCTGGGCTGTATCCAAAGATCCAAACCCTCTTCCTGTTCCAAAAGATTCAGTTCTGGAAACAGACAAACAACCTCTGGAAGGGCACATTCTGAAAGATAAATGGAACATTCCAGGGAACGCAGGAATGTTCTAGGAACAGATTGTACAATTTTATCTCAGGGCATCCAACAGGCAGTAGATCACCTCCTTTTCCATGGTGAGAGGAGGAGGAGGAGAACTAGTTAGCAACTCCTATGCTCTGGTGGCAGAAATCTCTGCTACTTTCTGATTTGGGTGGCAAGGAGTAAATGTGGATCAGACTGAAGGAGATCTCTGATCCACCAAACACAAATCCCTTCTGAATTTCTAACTTTCCTTTGAGAAGGAAAGACAAGACAGCAAGTACGATAAAGAGGGAAGAAAATAATAGGAACAAGAATCCTCCTTCCCCTACTTTATGCTTTGCCAGCAGGAATCTGACAGGGATATCATAGATCTTCCCCAATACCACAGTCAATTAATTCCAACCAATTTATTTAAAACTATATTTTTGTTTTGTCTCCAAAATAATATCAGGGATGAACAACTAACTTTTCCAGGAAGTGGCTCATCCTCATTTACAAGAAACCAACACTGAATAAAGGAGGAAGTCTCCTTTCTTTCCTCCCCATCCCCACAGGATCATTACCACCAACTAGCCTCTGGAAAGGCCTAGAAGCTTCCTGCTTGTTTCTTTCTTTTTTTAAGTATTGCTTCTTATTTGTTTATATTATTTGGGTGCTGCTTTGCAGGGGGGGATTGTTATCCTGAAAAACGGCACCTAAACAATTATAATAAATCCAGATGGGATCTACAAAAGATCCTGATGATACCTAATAAGCCCTGAATTCAGAAGCAAGCCATGTTGCTTGCTAGATGGAGTTAGCCTTTGTCCTCTCTAAACCTGACATGCAATCTGCTGGTATCCAGAAATCCTAAGTCAGTGTTGTCCAAACTTGGCCACTTTATGATGAGTGGACTTCAACTCCCAGAATTCCCCAGCCTGCCATGCTGGCTGGGGAATTCTGG